CCACGTGCGGGCGTGCACGTACGGTGCGATCGAAACTTCGTGGCCCAGGCGCAGGAGTCGGTTTTCGGCTCTCAAAAGAAATGTCCATCGTCCTGCCGTTGACATCTGGCTCTGCGGACGAATGAGTTTGCCGACCACCGGGCGAACGAATGGGGTCAGCTTGCCTCCTTCCCCCTGAGACGGAAGCCCCAGGCCAGCACGGGAGGGACAGCTACCCTCCTGCAGGGGTCACAGCACAGTCCCCCGCGTGTCAGGGACCTGACAGACTGAAGCGTGCTGACAGCCAGGCCTCCCGTCTCCAATGGGGTCTAAGAGAACAGTCAGTCCGTTTACAACGGATGTTGCGCCTCTCGCCAGGTTCGAGGGGGTGAAGGACCCTGTCAGTGGACGCAGGTCCCCAGGGCCCTATGATGCGCCCGAGGGGTGACCCAGCTCCTCGCTTAAAACCGCGAGAGTGATGTGCGCCCGGCAGGCCAGGGGTTCGGAAAGCACCCTGCGTATGCCCTCGCTGTCGGCGGTACAGCCCCGAGTCCTTCCTGACTCCCCCCTGAGGTCGGGATTTTTTTTAAATCGAATACACAGTCGTGTTGGAGGTTCCGTCCCGTCCTCCACCTCTTCTTCACGTGCAGCCGTTGTAATTAAACCCACAGACCTGAATGTGGGACGTGGACAACAGACAATTAGGCTAATCACCGCTTCCCGAAAGGATCAATTAGGGCTGAGAAATGGCACCCGGCGCCTGTGAGCCACCGGGTGACTGAGACGATACAGCTGGCAAGACGGGGCTGGACCGGTGCCTTCTCAGAGGCCTGGGCACGTCAGCACACGCCCTGGCTCTCTCCGGCGGGGGCGGGGGGGGGGCCACGCTACGGAGAAGCACGGACCGGGAAGTGCTAAGTCGAGTCAGTCCCACGGAGCAAGGCACCCCAACCGCCTGGGAACCCCATTAGCCCAGGTGCAGGCTCGGGGGGCGGGGAGGGGTCCGGCGACTGCCCTTCTCAGAAGCTCGGCCACGCGGCAGCTGCTGGTCTGGGGACCACACTTCCAAGATGAGGGTCTCGGTGGCGAGGTAAGACGCCTCACTGACCACTTGGCTGGTGAGAAGAGTCTCAGGATAGGAACTGGCTCCCAGCAGCCGCCCCGGAGTGCCAGCTGGGCCCGGACTCCAAGGCCCGGCTTGCTCTCAGTTCTCTGGGTCCGGTGCTGTCTTCTCAGACTCGGTTGTGCACTGACTCCGGCGACGAGCTTATAAAAACGGACGCCTGGGCCCTGACTGCGGGGTCTGAGGTGCAGCCGGAGTTTGGGGGGCTTTGACAGCCCCTCCGGGGGCTCCCGTACAGCCCGAGTCGAGGTTCAGGGATGCAGACGGTGGGGAGGCCTCACCCCCGATGCCCTCCTCTCTGCCTGCCTGCCTGCCTGCCTGGCCAATCAGTGCCCGAGGAAAACTGCTACCGCCACTCCGAAATGAAGTCTGAGAGGGTCACCAGGTGGGGACAGGCACAGCTGGCCAAAGCCCCGGCTCAGGATAGGATGGCACCACGACCAGGCCCCACACTGCCCGGGGAGGGGCGTCTCCATCTCACTCCGTGTCCAGGTGAGCAGGGACACACACGCTCTCTGCTCTGAGGTCCCAGTGGCCGAAGCAGGGAGGCCTGGACTGTCCGGAGTGACGTGCCCTATGCTGGTGTGGGACTGCAGGGGGGGTCCTTCAAGGCCATTTCAGAATGAGGTGTTAGACCACATGAGGTTGGGGGGGGGAGAAAGGATGCCCGGCCAGTGTTGCTCAGTGGTTAAGCACCGACCTGTGAGCCAGGAGGTCACCGCTCGACTCGCCAACAGGGCACATGCCCCCCTGGGAGCAGCGCTCAGGAGCCGCCCGCATCGCCCGCCCCCGCCCCCCGCCAAGCGGGAGGCGGCAGGTGCACCAGCCCCGCCAGCAGGAACTGGGTCCGGTCGGGGCCAACGCCCCGGATCTGGGTCACCAGCCCAGGTCCACGCCGGCAGCAGGTCAGCGATGACGGAAACAACGCAACAGAGCAAAGCAAACACAAGTAATCTCTGCAGGCCCCGGAGCCTCCCTCTGCACCCGCCTCCTCCCCCACCCCAACCATTTCAACCAAATTCGAGGAAAGAAGGGAAAACCGCCCGGAGCCGAAAGCCCGCCCGGTGGAGGGGGAGCTGGCTACCGACCCGCTCCACACCTGTGGCTTCCTGGTGAGACATTTACGAGAGCCAGCGTGGCCCCGGCACGGCTCTAGGAACCACCAATAAGTAAAACAGATGAAATCTCCGCTCCAGGAAGCTCACGTTTTACTGGGGGGGAGGGAGAGAGTGAGCACAATAACCAAGTGGATTGTACGGCGTTCGGAAACAGGTGCTTCGGTCGCACAAATAACGAAAACAGCGGCCCCAGTGCACTGGAAGCTTCCTCGGGACAGAAACGCTGAACATACACCATCTCATTCAATCCTCCCACGGCTCCCGGCCCCCCTGCCCAGATGGAGACGACGCGGGAGGGAAGTCACACACGACCCCCCAGATGAGACAAGGAGCATGGGTACAGAGGGGTGACCTCCGCCTGGTCCCACGGAGCAGGAAGGTGAGGGTCCCATCAGAGGGAGCCCCTCTCCCCTCCCCACGGCTCTTAAAAGATGTGACGGGGCAGTGGGACCCTCACACCCTCCCTCCTCTCCCAGAACTAAGGCTTCGGGGCTAACCGTCCGAGTTCACATCCCTGCCCCGCCAGCTCACCCTGGGCAAATGGTCTCTCCTCTCTCGGATTTAGAGTGAGATTACAGGTCCCTCTCGCAGATGACAAAGGAACAGGTGTCACGCGCCTGGGCGGCCATGCCCGCCCCATACACACCCCCACTCCTGGGTGAAAGCCCCACGCCCACCTCCCCTCTCCCCTCCCGCGCGCAGAGGCAGGGCCACGTGTCTCTAGGCCCCGCACGCGGACGTGGGGCAGAGGGCTGAGCGCGGTACACAGGGGATGAGTCAACACGAAGAGGAGGAAGTGTCTGGGATGCTGGGACCTTCTTCAGAACCGAGTCTGGGAGGTAGCGGACCTTAAAGACTGCGGGTTCCTGGGCCCAGACGGCTCAGCGGTTGCACAGGGACCTGTGAGGCGGGAATGGCAGGTGTGGAGTCCACTTTCCCCGTTGGGTGGTGAGCCCACGGCCTCAAGAAATCGGCTGCACTCTGCATTCAGCTGGGACCACCCCCCTCCCACCTCTTGGCCCTGAACCGTGCACCTCAGGGCCAGCCAGGTCGGGAGCCGTGCACAGCCTGGAACCCCACCTCTCAGTCTGGCACCCTAAGGTGCAGGGCAAGACCCTCAGCCCTGGAACCGCAACTTTCCCATCTGCGGATGGGCGCGTAGGCACAGCGAGAAGGGATTTGATGATCTATCGCAGTGATTCTGCCAAGGTCAAACATCACGGAGCCACAGGGGGACGGAGGAGGGGCAGGAAGGATCAGCCTGGGTAAGGGGGGGTCTCTGTGGGGCCAGGAACCCACGTGCCAATCCCAGATCTCACAGCCCAGATCAATGTCAGCATGAGGGTGACCCTGGGTTCCATCAGCGGAGCTTTCCTTGTTCCAACGGCCCTGTGTCCACCAGCCTTTGTCTGAGACCCTAGTGCCAGCCTCGGGGCTGCAGGGAAGGCCAGGCGGCTGGCAGATGCTTGCAAGATGGCATCGGTGCCCAGGACAGGCTGGGTACCACGTCAGCCAGTGCGAGAGGTCCAGGGCCAACCACCTCTCCACGCCGAGCCCCCACGTGCCACCTGCCATGGGGTCACTGCCAGGGTCTGTCTTCCAGAGAAGGCCGTCTCTTGGCCCTGGCTTCGTTCACACCTGGAGGGAGGGCTCCCTCCTGGGGAGGTGGGCAGCGGAACCCCTGTTTTGTGGACAAGGAAATGGGCTCAACCCCCACTTGTGGGCTCGAAACCACAGGCTCTGAGAAAGAGCTTCTCAGGCCCTCGGCCCTCACAGGCGGGACTGTGTGCTCAGCCCCAAACCGCAGGTGGTGCCAGAGATGCTGACACCCGGGCCATCCAGCTGAGCCGCCAGGGGAGGTCTGCACCCCGCGCCTGCTCCCCCACTTCCAGAATGCGCCCAGGTGCTCCGCGGAGCGGGCAGAGCCAGGCCTCTAGCTCGGCTCGGCCCACACCAGCCCTTTGTGTTCCCGGCCTGACACCCACGGTGTGGCTGCCCCGGGCCTGGGCCTCCCCGGGGGGCTTCAGGGCCCAGGGGACGTCTGCCGGAGACCCCTTCCCAGGCAGGCGCCGAGCCCTGCACAGCGTGGACCATGCGACGCCGGACCCACAAAGGGTCCATTGTGAGGACGGGAGGAAGCCAAGGCCACAGGCGCGGGCCCTCTGCACAGCACCGCCCAGGCGCCGGGGCCTGTGCCCCTCGCCATGGCGCCCCCAGACCCAGCGCCCGGGCCAGGGCTGGCTGGGGGTCAGGTCTCCTGCTGGGCCCAGCAGGGTCAGCCTGAGCCTGGGGTAACCTACACCCCCAGCTGCCCGGCTGGCGGGATACGCTGCAGACCCTGAGGGTCCCTGGGGGCTCCTTCAAGGTGCCAGGACGCACCTGCCCGCCGGGGTGGGGCCCACGCAGGAGGCTCTGGGAGGGAGGGAGGAAGGGCAGGCTGCGTGCTCCCCACGGGAGGGGGGCGGGGGGCAGATCTGCGTCCCAGATGGGCGAGGAGGATGCATATTTGTGCAGAGGGAGCACAGGCCAGGCAGCGGGCAGCTGGGGCGCGGGCTCCGGGGAGGACAGGAGGGGGCTGCCCGCGGTGGGTGGCGTTGCCCACAGAGGCGGGGGGCTGCACGCGGGGGCCCTCCGCCGCCCGGGCGGGCTTTGTGCGCGGCTGGCGGCCCGGCCCCGGGTCCGAGGGCCTGCGGAGGCATGCACGGGGCTCCAGGAGGAGGAATCGGGGCGCGCCCTGCGCCCCGGAGGGGGCTCCCGGGGCCGGGGCCTCCCGCACTCACCTCCTGAAGTCAAAGGGCATCGTGCCGCCGCCGCGGTGGGAGCTGCAGGCCAGCGGGCCCGGCGCCGCGTGGGTCCCTCCCGCTGCCGCCGCCGCCGCCCCGCCCCCGGTGCCCCCCGCCCCCCGCCGCCGCGGGAAGTGACGCTCCGCGCGGCCCATTGGACGCCGCGGGCCGGGAAGGGGAGGGGGGAGGCGGGCCTTTTGGGGTGAAGGCTCTGGGAGGGGGCGGGAGCCCCCAAAGAGGCCTTCTTCCTTTGCAAGCCCCCCCCCCCCCCCCCCCGCGGTGCTTTCCTCCCCGCTCCCTTTCCCTGTGCGGCTCTGGGCTGCCTCTCTGAGCTGCTTCTTTATTTTTTATATTTTTAAATATATATATATTTTATTGATTTTTTTCACAGAGAGGAAGGGAGAGGGACAGAGAGTCAGAAACAACGATGAGAGAGAGTCATCGGCCAGCTGCCTCCTGCACACCTCCTTCTGGGGATGTGCCTGCAACCAAGGTGCATGCCCTTGACCGGAATGGAACCTGGGACCTTTCAGTCTGCAGGCCAACGCTCTATCCACTGAGCCAAACCGGTTTCGGCTATACTTTTATTTTTTTATTGTTTGAAACATTACAAATAGTCTCCTTTCCCCCACACCCCCATGGAGCTCCCCCCTCCCCCGCCCCTACCCCCAGGACATGCCCTCACCCCCCAGAGTCTGTATCCACTGGTTATGCTTATATGCTTGCGCACAAGTCCTTGGGTTGACCTCTTACAGCACCCCCCCGCCCCCCCCCCCCCCCCCCCCCCCCGCCCCTGCCTTCCGCTGTAGCTGAGCTCCTGCCTTTGGTTTGTCAGACAGACTCCCTGAGTGTGGCTCCACGGCCTGGCCCAGGTTTGGCCGCGCACAGCGTCCAGCTCTGAGCAGGGCGGCCGGGCGGCCCGGGTGTGCAAAGGGCACCTTTTACAAAACGGCAGCTCCCCGCTGTGCCTCTGTGGGGAAGGCACTTGGCTCGCTGAGCCCCACCCCTTCCTTCCCGCAGTCTGCCCGGGGGAGGTGGGCTCCCACTGGAGGGCCTTCTCCTGGGGATTCAATGAGAACGTCGGGTGGCGACGGGCTTCGTGCTGTGCGGGCACCGAGGCGGGGCTGGGCCTGCAGGGCTGTGGCCGGTCCGGTGCGGCTCCGCATTCACTCCAGCTGCACGCCGGACGTGCAGGCTGCCTCGCAGGCAGCCGGTGGCCTGGTCTGTGCCTGGGCCCAGGAGGCCTCTCTGAGCCTCGTTTCCTTCTGTGAAACCCACAGGTAGTCAGCATCTCCCTGGACTGGAGGAGATGATGGCTGAGGTGACACAAGACCCGTGTGGAGGAAACTCATTCTGAACCCCCCCTCACCCCCCTCCCGTTTCTATTGTTGGCCCCACCGCTAAGCAGGGAACTTGAAAATCCCAGGGGGGAGGAAGGTAGAGGCTCAGGTCTAAAAGCAGGGCCTTCGGGCGGTTTCTTTGTCTATAAATAGAGGGAAATGGTGGTACTTCTTCCCCTGGGAGGGTTCCGCATGCAGTGTCAGCAGGGGGTGAGTGCGGAGGAGCTGGTGCAGGGGGTGGGTGTGGAGGGGCTGGGGTAGGGGTGGGGTGCGGAGGGGCTGGGGTAGGGTGGGGCTGAAAACCAAACTCTCCCCCCTGGAGCATACACTTAGCCTACCTTCTGACCTCTGGCATTCTCATTCATTCCTTCACTCATTCATTCATTCATTCATTCAAGAAGGCTGGTACTCTTGGGAGAGAGAAGGAAATCTCAGACTGAACGGGACACCGAGGGCGGCCGGAAGGGTGAAGGGGCCTGGAGCAGGACTGTCGGTTGGGGCTGCACAGGAAGGAGCCATGCGGGATGGGCCTTTGACCACAGTCTCTCTCCTCAAAATGTGGCCCCCGTGCCAGCTGCTGGGGCGCCGTGGGGCGGGTTCCTGGCCCCAGCTCAGGCCTATGGGATCGAGTGTGCATTTCACGTACCCTCCCGGAGATCCCTTGGCACACTGAAGTCTGAGAGGCATTGTGATGAACGGCCTGGCTCCTGGGGGTGGGGTGCAGGGGGAGCTTTTGCATTTCCTGGTCCTTTCACCTGGAGCGCATTCCTTCCTTCTTCCACTCAGCCGTGTGGGCAGAGGACGCCGTGTCTCCCACCAGCCACTCTCCCTTTCTTCATAAGGGTGAGCGGAGCCCAGACTGGAGCCCAATGATGTGGGTGCATGGTCCAGCGTGTCCACTAACGCATTTTACCTCTTTCCCTCAGTCTTCTCATCTGGAAAATGGGAGCAATGCTAGTACCTTTGCCATAGAGCTGTTGTGAGGAGGAAATGTGTTGGCGTGTGTCATAGGCATAGGTCCGTGCCTGGCAGAGTGCAAAATGAAAGCTACGGTTGACTGTAGTTGCTATTTTGGGGTGATGATGGAGCTCCCAATTTTTGGCAGGGGAAATGGATGCTCAAAATGAAAGTTTCATTTCCCAGCTTCCCTTGCAGCTAAGGGTGGCCATGTGACCAAGTTCTGGCTGTTGATAGGCCAGGGGAAGTGGCTTGTGGCAGCCTCTGGGGTAGTTGTGTATATCACTCTCTGTGTCCCTTTCTCCATCCAGACGCCCAAAATACGGATGCCACCATCCGGGGCCCTGTGGTGAAGGCCACAGCGAGCAGAGCAGCTATAAGATAGAGGAGACTGGTCCCTGCCGCTGAGTGGCACAGTTCCTGTAATCCAACACCTACCCAGACATCTCAGCAAGAGAGAGGTAAACACCCATCCTGCTTCAGCTACTGTTATTTTATATATATATATATATATATATATATATATATATATATTATTGATTTTTCACAGAGAGGAAGAGAGGATAGAGAGTTAGAAACATCGATGAGAGAGAAACATCGATCAGCTGCCTCCTGCACCCCCTCCACTGGGGATGTGCCCGCAGCCAAGGCACGTGCCCCTGACCGGAATCGAACCCGGAACCCTTCAGTCCGCTAGCCGACGCTCTATCCACTGAGCCAGACCGGTTTCAGCCAGCTACTGTTCCTTTGTGGCTTGAGGCTCTTACACTTGAACCAGGTGTCAGAGCGCCTGCCCAGCCCCGGCTCAAATACTGTGTGCCGTATAGGTCCGCGGCCCCATTGTATGCTCGCCTGGCACCCTCCAGTTCTCCTCGGGAGAACTTGTCCCCGTGTGTGGGTAGGCTGTTGCCATTGGCTAATGTCTCCCCCTCCATCTCGGCTGGAAGCTCTGCAGGGTGGATGGGTGTCTGTCTGTCCAGCCGTCTCCTGCACCCAAGGAGAGGCTGCCTGTGGAGGGGTGTGAGGCTGGGTGAGGGAGGCTGACTGGAGGCACCCAGGGCGGCAGGCCTTCCCGTAGAGCAGAGGGCGGGGAGCGGGGCGCATCCTGAGGATCTCGGTAGGGACTGCACTCAGCCAGTCCCAACGGCCCCTCCTCCCAAAGGCGGTGGGAGACAGAGCGAAGGCGTACATGGAAAGTTCTGGATCTCTTTGGCCGGGGGCGGGCTGCGTCACAGCGGCGGCTCCCTGTGTTGGCCAGCTTCCTGAGTTCTCATGTCCCCGTGCGGTTCTCATCTTCCTGAGGTTCTCATCTCCCACAGGGATGAGGGCTGGCCGGGGGAGCCATTATAAAACGGACAGTGCCTGACCCCGAGGGCTGCTCGCAGAGGCCATTGAGGCTTCTGCTCACACCTGCCGACTCGCTTTCTCTGGAAGAAGCCTCCTTCTGCATCGTAAACTCAAGCGCCCGGCCAGTGTGGCTCCGTGGTCGAGGGTCGACCCATGAACCAGAAGGTTACGGTTGGATTCCCGGTCAGGGCATGCCTGGGTTGCAAGCTTGATTATTCCCCCGTGTGGCACATGCAGGAGGCAGCCGATCCATGATTCTCTCTCATCATGGATGTTTCTCTCTCTCCCTCTCCCTTCCTCTCTGAACATATATTTAAAAACAAAACAAAACAAAAAAACAAACCCTCAAGCACCCTTACAGAACGGCCCCAGCTGAGCTGCCTCTGAGTTCCCAAGGCTCATAAACGATGAGAGAGATAACGCATGTCGATCTTAAGCCATTGAATCATGGTGCTCAGTTTCAGGGCGGGAGCTAGTCTATACAGCCTGTCTCCCAGCCGGGCTGGCGAAGTGGAGAACCAGCTGGGTGGCCGGGACACACTGCCGAGCTAGCTGGTGTCTGAGGATGAGAGGAAGGACAAGACACCTCACCTGTTGCAGGTCGCCTCCCCAATGAGTCCTCCTCTTGGCATCCACACCCTCTGCAATCCCCTGCCTCAGAGTGTAGGCTGAATGTGTTGACTCACTTCTAACAAACAGAAGACAGCGGAAGTGATGGCATGTCACTGCTAAGATGATGTGTGAAAAGACGTGGCTTCTGTCTCGGACACTTTTTCTATCGCTCAGATCAATGGTCCAGGGCAAGCCAGCGGCCCTCCGTCCCGAGAGGCCCAAGTGGCCGGCTTGCCGGAGGCTCTTCACACAGACAACAACTGTGAATGAGCTTAGAAACGGACCCGTCAGGCCCAGTCCCGCCTCGAGGTGACCGAAGCCTGGCAGAAACAAACACGTGGTCCTCAAAGCTCGCTGAGAAGATGAGGTGGAGTGCCCAGCGCATAGTAGGTGCTAAGGAAATGTTGCCGAATCAAGCGGTAAACAATCAAGTCAGTAAACAATGGGATGTTCTATCGGGTAGAATGTTCCCTGGGTCCATTTGCTCACGCCCCTTCACCCCCTCCTGCAAATGCGTCACGGGAAGTTCTGAAGCCGGGGAATGGCCGGGTCAGATTGGTTTTTCTGTAATGCGAAACGGGTTTGTGTTCCATGGGTGTGGCTGCTTGCACTGTAGTCTGAATAAAGAGAGAGATTAAGAAATAATAATTCTTTGTTCGTTCAGAGAGGTCTTGAGGGTAACTTGAGCCTCCTAAAAGGTGGGCCTCTGACCAAACAAGTCTCTTTTCTTAGTCTAATAAAGTCTCACGACCAGCCCTAGCCGGTTTGGCTCAGTGGGTAGAGTGTCGGCCTGCGGACTGAAGGGTCCTGGGTTTGATTCTGGCCAAGGGCACATGACTGGATTGTGGGTTCAATCCCCAATAGGGAGTAATGATTCTCTCTCATCATTGATGTTTCTATCTCTGTCTGCCTCT